CTCGTCCCGACGCACAAATGTTGTAAGAACAAGTGTCTTCGGGTCTTTGACTATTGATGATACCAAACCGGTACGGGAAGCCTATTACGAAATGTCCCTCGAAAGGAAGATCGAGTGGTGGATGCAAACCCTTGACAATTTCACTATCCTCGACGGTGGTTTGGAAAGAGTTCAACCAGTGCAGTGCAAACGTCGTGTATGCATCGACGGTTGGTGCAAAATAATAGGGATATGTCGAAACACATTTCGTCGTTATAGCAAGTGCAAGTCAAACGGGGTCGTCCGTGGACGACATGGTTGATGGGGATTGTTGAACCCGAGATCGGAGTATGTGAGCATACTGGCTCATGTGACAAGGTTCGTGGAAGAACATGGAGATGCTATGCCTAATGAAATGGTTGTGAGGGGGACCACACAAAGACCTAAAGTTAGGCTCCCTGCTTATTTCACGAAATTCCTTGTATACGAGTCCATCAAGGCGGACTTGGAAGCAGCGGGTCAGACTGTCATTTCGGAGCAAGTCTTCTACTCCATATGGAGGAAGTACTTGTGGCATGCCGACCTTGCGAAGTCCAACTTGTTCACAAAGTGTGGCGAGAGCGTCCGCCTTAGACAGGCCAGAGATAACGCCTTTCGCCTTTGTGACCGTAACGATTTCGACGAAAAGCACAGTAAACACCAACTATATTAGGTCGCTCACCGTGCGGATTACGATGACTGGAAACTTCGTTCCATTTTGAACCCCGCGGAATACCTTTGTCTTATAGTGGATGGAATGGATCAAAAAAAGACAACCATTCCTTACATCGGCATGTACAATTACTCCAAGGATCATCGACACGACATGATGATGAAAACGAACTTGACCACAGTCGTAGCTCACGGTAGGAAACCGTCCATTTATGTTTACACGTATTTGCCTTTCTATGTGCACGGTTCCGATGACACCATGACGTGCGTTATGAGGACTCTATGTGAGTTGCAGGCGTTGGGACAGCAATGGTCACACCACCTCAGAATCCAGGTGGATAATTGCTGAAGGTTAAACAAAAACAAATACCGTATGTGTTTGGCCTCTCTTCTGGTGAAATTCGGGATTTTCGAAAATGTCGAAGTAGGGTTCATGCTCGTTGGCCACATGCATACCGACATAGACGCGACTTTTAGTGTCTTCTCGAAAAACAGAAGGACAACGATGCTTGCACCATGAAGCAATTGTTCTCGCTTATCGAGCCGCCGCACAAGACACCGCCGAAGTGCACTGAGATCGATCACATTGCCGATTGGCGCCGGGTGGTGGATCGCGTGATGGTGTACAAGAAGTACTGTACCGATGCGAAATGGATGCCGGAAGGTAGACCAGTTTACTGGTTCCCGGTTGTCGATGGGCAGTATGCAGGCCCTACCTCCCCTCCACAACCATGTGTTATTCCCCATGTCATTAAAGACTATTTTTGGATGGCTCATGACAGTGTCCAAAAATTTCTCGAAGTCCTCGAACAACATAGATACATGTGGGGCAGACATATAGGAAGGAGGAGGTTGACAAGCGGGAGGATGCTTTGTCTTACTGGAAAGCCATCTTCGTCGAGGCGGACGATATGATCCAAAAGCAAAGGAAGAAGGAGACGGAAGAGGGTGAGGAAGAGGATGTCTTCGGGGCGGACGAGCCTGAGATCTACCCTCACACCTTCTGGCCACAATTAGTCGACATTGTGGAGGAAGTTCAAGAAACTGACCCTCCTTCACTAGATGTTTCTCTTATATATGTAGGACCGAGGGCGGGTCGTCCAAAAGTGGACTTCGACCCTCGGCGCCATATAAACAAAGGTAATTTTCTGATTGTAAGGCCGCCCGATGAGGAACTGTCTCAAGGTGTCCCGTTCTGGGTTGGCAGAGCACAGTCTGAGGTTGTGGACGACCGTTCCTTACCTCATTTCGGTTGTTTATGTATACAGTGGTGGGTGCCTACAGGTCACTCGTCCGATCTTCGCGAAAGGTACTCCGACACTTGGACGAGGATGTGGAAACATTCCATCTCGAACGATGAACAATGGCAACGCGCCGAAACTGTGGCTTATTCCTGGAGAAGACCCTTTCGCAAAGGGACGGATGAGAGCAAATTCGTGACAGGCCTTACAATAACGACATCCGTTTGTGAGAAAGCGTTTGTGGCCCTCGGGGACGGTTGTCTTTCTAATCCGTCCAATGTGTCCGTTTAGTTAAATGCGAACTGATTTGGATTTGTTAGCTACGAACTCCGCAAAGATAATGACGACACGTTAACTGCGAACTAATTCCGGTTTCTTGTCCTGAAGGATGCATGAGGACGACACACAATCGTGTGACATTGTATACGAGACAACGTCCTAAGAAACCTCGTCGTATGCTAGCGAGTATTCCTTTTCGATCGAGAATGTGGACACGGATCTTATCATCATGAACAAATGCATTCGGGCACGAGGAATGCTCTGTCTTGACAACGATTATCTGCATATCGAGGCTGGGGTCGGCCTCGACGGTTACATTGCACCCGAAACACGTGTTGTTGATGAAAAAACTATAATAGTTTGTGATAGAGGATCAAATATGTGGTACCTCTACTAGAGTTCAGAAGAAGTCCAACTGTAGGAAGTTCCATCCAGTCAGGAGGAGAAGGTCGACCTCGAGGATATGGCAGATTTCCGGGACTCGCTGTGCTTCGAACAAGACTGGGATTGTATGGACGACCAACATGCTGAAATTTGCGTATGGTACTGCATCGGAAGCCGCAGTTGCGTTTTCCTGAGATCATAGACTACCATGACCGAGTTCGCCTATTCAATCGCGACACCCTTGTACTAACTCTTTTCACGGCGGCCAAGCTTTGTGGTAAGCGAATGAGAGTTTTCTTCCTTGTGAGAGAAGACTTTCGCGAGCCCACGTCCGCGAGTGCTCTGAAGCGCTTCCGTGATCGAATCGAAATAGATCCTTCGCTCGCAAAAGAGTTGAATCAAAGGGTTGACTGTTTGGTGCATGCCCAACTTCACTTCCTTTTCGAATTATGTGAAACATGTTATTCATTAAAATAGGACATTATGCTATGTCCTCTTTCTAACGAATTCATTTTTGGCTACATTCTAAGCAACGTAGGCACGCCCATCTAGGGCTTAACCACATGCAGAATTGTGCTGAGATCCGTACTTGTGAAACTTTACAAATGATATCCCAAATGAGGAAGCGTGTTCAGACCCGTGCATGTCAGGCACGCCGCACGGGGATCTTGTGTGAAAGTGTGCTGGGATCGTTACTTGTTGAACTTCAAAAACGTGGCAGTGCTGGGAATCCTTTGCGGAAGTGTGCTGGGATCCGTACTTGTTAAACTTAATGCAAGAGTGTGTTGAGATCCGTACTTGTAAGTTAGTAATTGTGATGAGCAACTTGAAGGTGTCATGATTGCATCCTCATTGGATAATTATATTAGAAGATGTAGAGTAGCGATAGGCACGCCCATCCCGGAAGCCTGTGCGACAGTGTGTCGGGATCCACACTTGTCAAACTTCAAGTTTGTAAATATGATGAGCAAGGTGTCATGATTGAATCCTTGTTGGATAGTACAATGTCATTTGTCTCGGTTATGTGTAAGTTGTACATGCATGGCAATTATGTCGCCCGAGGCGGTTGTTTGGATGGTGTTGAGATTCAGATTTCTTTAGAATACTCAGTGTCCGTAAAATACGTCCACCATCTCGTCGGATGTGCAGAAATGTGATAAGATTCATACTTGTTTACAATTGTGATGAGCAAGGTGTCATGATTGCATCCTTGTTCGACATGTATGTTTTGAAAAATGTGATATTGGAAACTTCAAGTAATGTAACAGTCACAGTAGCAGTCGAAGTACAAACAGTTTATTTAGACATACAATTTCCTTTTCCCGGTCACAAACGCAAAATTGTCGATTACATGCAATTCAGGCGGTCACAAGTATATGATTCTCTGTGCACACATGAGACGTGATGTCAGTGCTCTTTGACTCTTTGCATAACGAACCTCACACTCACACACTCGCCGAGATTTGTTTTGCATCCACACTCCAATTCGTCATGTCGCACCACACACACGAATATCATCTCGAGGTGAATTATATACACAACTTTGGATGATCTGGACACAATTTGAAACGAGGAATGCAATGCGACGAATTTAATGGCACGACAGACGAGCGGGACCTGACAGAGATTCCAAAGTCAACACGCGATGCCAGACTGGCAGCCAGCATACAAAAAACAACTCAAACTCGCAACAACAAAAGAAAGTAATGTCGTTGTGAAAGCGACAGTTAAAATATAAAATATTCTGAAACGAAAGTTTGTAAATCAATCGAATCCATAAAAAACAACGGCTTTCCAAGATACATGATGCCAATTGTCGTCTAATATGCGGAATATTTTTACAAGAGAACCTGAAAGGCGGTCGATCGCCACGTTGCAATAGTGTCGCAAACATCAACATAAACACCCCGCAACTAACTCCATCCACTTGTCTTGGAACTCCCTCTATAACAACATTTGTTGCTACCGACTTCCAACTCCTACACGACCGCCTATGTAATGTTTGACATTCCAAATAGTGTACGATCAACTCGAAAACACTAAGGTAAAAACTAGAATCGGCCACAACGCGAGGAAAAAAATCGAAAATCTCAAGAACATTATCTCTCAAGTTCATGGAAAGGAGGATCCAGTGATCATTATCTTTGTGGACTGGAACAAAGATAATATCGTATTGAAGCTGATCCACGTTTTTAGCCCGTCTTTTCACCTCGCCGTGTCCTTGAAGTTGCAGTTTACTGAAGAAGAAAAAATTAAAGTTGAAGACTCGAAGGTCCGATGGGATGTCATGTATCCCATATGCGGTCGCCCCCAATAGCGCCATGTAAAACTTGACCACCTCATCATTCACCCTGCCGTTGGTAAGCGAGAGGGTGAGAATATTTTTTGCTGCAATTCGCAACTGACCATCGCCGAGGGTCGAGAAAACAGTGTTAGGTGGTACCAAGCCTCGTTTAATGTCGTCAAAAACCCTCAAGCTTCCAATCGCAATCACTGCAGTGAATCCTCCCCAGCCGGTTCCAGGTGTCGTGGCCCGTACTGCACAACATCAAGCAAAGGACATGGGGGAAGTGAGAAACGAAATTCTAAGGATTCTCCTTCATCGCACGATGAATACCTAAGTATTTCTCATACATGGCCCTCCATAGTCATAGATCGTGGATATGTCCCTTTCTCTGGGGGCAGAAAGGAAAGACACTCCTCAATAGCAATGGTACGCTCCTTCTTCCCGATTTCGACATCAACCCCGGGACTGTCTGCAATATGTGTTCCGGATATTTCGAGGCCCTCCGTGTTCGAGATGACCCTACCCCTGTACAACAGAAGAAAGACAAAACGGAAAATGAATATACGTTTCCGAAGACGAACCCGACGAAAGGACAATTAAAGAACCATGAAATCTAAAAGACGCAGGATCATGCAATTACATAACCCCATTTTGTCATGAGAGCGAGAGAGAGAGAACTTCCGCGTGAGTCCCGCTGGAAAACAAAACGACCAGTGCATTCGAGCTCGACACCCCCGCCCTTCAGAAAGGAAAACCACAACAAGCCACATAAGCGAAAGCCAAACATCTCTGAAATCCGGATCCCGACGGACTTTTTCCAATCCAGGGAGATGACCCTACCCCTGTACAACCGAAGGAAGACAAAACGGAAAATGAATACACGTATTCCAAGACGAATCCGACGAAATGACAATTTAAGAACCGCGAAATGTAAAAGACGCAGGACCTATTTAATCACCAAACCCCGTTTAGCCATGAGAGAGGGAGATAATACTTCTGCGGGAGCCCCGCTGGAAAACAAAAGGAGTAGTGTGTTCGAGCTTAACACCCCCGCCCTTCAGAAGGGAAAACCACAACAAGCCACAAATGCGGAGGCCAAACATTTCCGAAGTCAGGATCCCGGCGGACTTTTTCCAATCGAGGCACACATTATCAAAGAGTAACCGCATTACGCATCGGCCTTGGAAGTGCGGATCCCGGCGGACTTAAACCACCACTCATTCCGAAAAAGGAACACCATCATTCCATTTTGTGAGGGAACGCTTCAAAAAAAAAACACATGTTTTTGTCTCGTATGCCTTGCACACGACCAGTAACCTGGCCGACTCACAGGAAGGTCGTTCACAGGTACTTAGGCCGTCGACATCCGAACTACGAAGGAAGCCGCACTTTCGCTCTTGGGAGGCCAGGCGAGCAGACAGAGGCGTGCTGACACTAACTGCCCGCCATTGAAACGAACGAAACACAAAAGCGGTGATAATAATGAGACAGCGCACAAACCCACACACAGACATACACATGCACATGCCTGCGTCCTGTTATGATGTTGCGATTGAAACAAGTGAAGCACACACGCGGTGATAACATCGGTACAGCACATGCGATCGATCGACCGATCGCGGACAATCTGTTTGTTTTTCCCGATTTGTCGATTAATCGCGTGTGTTGTCTCCACATTACGATCACGGGCTTTGATTAATCAAATGATCGAGGGTGAAAACATTGGGACGACACACACGATCAATCGTGTGTGCGCGAGTGATCTGTTTGTGTTTCGCGATTGGTCGATTGATCGAGTATGCAGTGTCGACATTGTCATCCCGCGCTCTGATTGATCATCCTTTCGGCTGCCTGTTCGGGGGCCATAGCAGTGGGACAACACACACGATCAATCGACCGATCGCGTGTAATGTGTTTGTGTTTCGCGCTGGGTCGGTTGATCGCATATGCAGTGTTGACTTTATCACCGCGTGCTCTGGTTAATCATCCTTTGGGTGGTATGATCGGGGGCTCTCTACTGTGCAGTGTCATGCTGGTTTGCCGATGGCCGAGCGAACTGTTCACTGAGCAAGTTCTGATAGTCGAAATGAATGGAGTCTAGTAAGCGTTGTAATGCAAACACACAACACGATCCACGCAACGTGCAGCGCTAGAAAGTACACGTTCGTTGGATCGCTTGCGCACACAGCAATCATCCCTGAATAAAAAATGAACACATTCACGATACATACCGTGCCATTCATCAGTGAGCGCACACCTTTTCACACCATTCATCGCTAAGCGCACACCATATCATTCATCCCTAAGCGCACACCATACCATTCATCCCTGACCTCGCACCATATCATCTCTCTCTCTCTCTCTCTCTCTCTCTCTCTCTCTCTCTCTCTCTCTCTCTC